ACACAGCACTGCAGGAAGCTGAGCCAGTGCTTCTTGGGAGGAAGGAAAATACAGCACTGCAATAAGGTAACAGGAGAGGTGAATTCTGAAGAGTCCCACTTGCTGATGGCTCTTAAACCATCCCTGATGGATGTCAAACTCAGCGCTGTATCCTAGAGGCTCCCAAAGTACAGAAAACTCTGGGTTTGACTCAAGAGTTGAGTGGCATAGAATTTATGGCTGTTTGACCCATTTCAGATTTATCAGAGAGGCAAATGACTCTTGGGCACAACAAAAACACAACATCCACCTAGCTGAAAGCGCAACTTCCTTGGTCTACAAACGCCTTCCTCCTAACCACAGACTGGGCTGTCTCACCTGCCTCCTTAGGAAATACTGCCACAGTTGCAAGATCTCCAGTTCCTCATGTTTCATTGCGAGAGACTGCAGTGCATTTGCTGGTATAATATATTATGAAGGGTCATGAATAATTAAAAATTAATCACACTTGTCAAAATAAATAAATGCAGTCAGTGATGCAGAATGCTTGAATTTTTTATAGCGTCTTTTTGCTTATTCATGAATTAAAAGAAGCCTTGTAATCCACAATGGATTGCCTACTCATTGCAGCACATACAGGCCCAGTTCAGATCCCAACAGTGGAGGTTTTCCTGTCAGCCTTTAGCACATCAGTGGAACTTCAACCTTACATCTCTGACCCTGCAGAATGTTACATAAGTTAGACTTGGAAATGGGAATAGCTCCAGCAGATCTTCAGGGATCTAGCTGGCAGATACACCAGTGATTCTCTCACTCATTGGTCTACTTTTAAGGTGGGGGGAACAGAGGAGAGTGAAGCATTTTAGCACCAATTTAAAAAATCAAAACTTTGATAGCCTCCCTAATCTACATTTCTACAGACAAACAGTCCAGCAGTTATTTCTACCAAATACTCAATATTTTTGCATGGTTTGATAGCATTCCCAAGGCTTGAACAGAAGAGCAAATAATAGTAAATGTTTAAATAGCAACTTTTCTCTGACACTCTAAATTGGTCTAAAACTGTTAATGCATTTCTATTTTTTTTTTCAAAGGGAACCTAAGCCTGGCTGGGAGGTGAGCCAGGAACACACCACGACACCAACCCTATCAGACCAAAGAGCCGTTAAGTTTCAATATTTGGCTCTGAGAACAGACAGCTGGAAATAGAAAATGAAAAAGAATGTATGAATAGGAAGAGCAAACAGTTGTCCCTCACCACTCCTGGACTTCAGGGACTGGTCATATGAGGACTTTCTGGGCCAGAAAAAGTTCTATAGAGAATTTAGTAGCTGTAACTACTTCTCTTCCCGGCACATATCCTGTCAATTTGCACAGCCACAGAAGGTTCCAGCAACAACGATACCCTGGGAAGAATGTTCCACAGTTTCACTGTTTGTTAAATACTGAGGGATGTCCTTTTGTTTTGCCTGACATCTAATAATTTTTCTTGATGCTGTTCAATACTTTATTAGAAGAAATATAAAATATTCCTTCTGTAGTCATCCTTTCAGTGCTTTACCTTAGGAGTTTTTATAAACCTTTATACATACTTTATAAATATTTTATAAATTTCTGATTTCTACACAACCCTGCATGTATTCCTTTAGATGCTTCTTGCAGGCAGAATAGCCCTAGTCAATTTAAATGATCCTAGAAGACAACTATTACATACTTGATCATCTTTGTTTCTATTATTTAAAAACCTTCCCAGCTGTACTAAAAGATTTTTGATGCAGGGAATCTAGAACAGATGACTGAGTTCCAAATACAGCTGCCCCACACATTTATACTATAGCGTACTGTTCCGATTTTCCACTCCCTTCCCAGTAAGCCCCCAAATCACATTTATTTTGTGACTGCTACTGAAGTGATGCTTTCACAGCTCTATTCTTACACTTAATTCAGTTTAAATGACAGTAACCAGCTCAGAACCTGTCTGCATGTCTGCCAAGCTCTGATTGTGTCTCCCACCACCTCAATCCAAGCAACCTGCACTAAATTTCACCTGCCACTATTAGCTGGTTAAGCATTCCTTTTCAATTCCTTGCAAACCAGACCTTCAATCTTTTACCCTGAATAATTTAATATCAAACTCTGCCACCTCACCCTCTATTACTATCCAGAAGATCAATGATTTGTGTGACACTACTGCTGAACATGCCGAGTGAGTGGATTGCTCAGCTGTGACTGCTACCAGATGTTGAGACACCAGGAGTTAGCTCTTCCTCTAGGAGGCTTAATCCATGCTGACTTCTGATTTCTTGACACTGAGCTGTATCATGCTGCTGGGACAGGAGCAAAAATACAGAAATTCTTCCAATGTCTCTTTGGGAGATCTACCAGTGATTTTCTGCTGAACGTTTTACAGAAACTCATGTGAAGCCTAATGAATCATACCAGAGGCATTTGTCTCTATCAATGTCTTGCCATGACTTGATAACCAAGTGACAAGGATGAGCTAAACCATCCCAAAATCTAGTTAAGCTATCTGTTTATCTCTGTGCATTACTGTCTGCAAAGGAGATGAAATGAGATTGAGATAATTGCAAGTACAATTTGCAGGAAACAGTGGGGGTTGGAACTACTGTGCTTAATTATTTCAGATTGAAACAGACCACACAACTATCTGTGCCAAACAGCTGTAATTAAAGTGATTTAAAATAGAGAGATGCTAGCTCCAAGTGTTGATTTTCAAATGAGTCTTTATACATGCAAGAGTTACAGTCATCGATGAGTTACAGACCTACAGCTCCACTGGAAAAAAAATTACCACTATGTCCAACATGCCTGGCAATTTTAAAAAACAAGCCCACACATACACAAGCAAATAAACCACACAAAATAATCTACACTAATGCCCCACAAATCTAAATCTACCCAATCAATTTGACACTGGTTACTTGCCCTCAGAAGAGAAGAAAACAGCAGAACACAAGTTTCAGCCTAAATTCCTGTATTCCAGATGAGAACCTTCAACCTTTGGGCTTAGAATTAGAATTTTAACACAACAGGCAATTGGAAATCATCAACCAATACCACCTTTGGCTTTGGGCTGCAGGAGCAGCCAACAGTCTCGCTTTCTTCCGCTTTGATAGATATATAAAAAGGAGTTAGACAAAGGAATAACTTTACTGGAAAGGATCCAAAAGAATCACACATAGACAACATGCAGCACCATGGGGTCCTGGCCAGGTTCTTTACCTGGAACAATACATTTGCTTCCTTGTGGGTATTCCCCCCACTCCAGGAAAATGACAGCTATTCTTAATTCAAAACAAGGTTTTTAACTCCTAAATTTCAGTGGCAGCCAGCTTGCACTGGAATTTAAGAAAAAGAGGAACAAAACAAAAATTCTGATTTACCTCAAACTTTCCCTGAACTGTACCTTTGTAGGAAGAAATTCAGTCTGCGTGTGGATGTTTACTGATGCGGAAATTAGAAGATATTTGCATGCAGCACAAATGTGGTCCATCTGCTTTACACACGACACAGATCACACCAAAATGACTTGGTCTGCTGATGAATCAATGGGCCTTAAAAGTTAATTTATAATGGCTATCTAGGGAGAAGTACTATACTATTGGTATGGATGAGAAAACAGAATATGAATGAAAGCAGCACAGAAAATTTCCTCAATATTTGCCTGAACATAAGAACTGTCACGAGCAGCCAGACTGCAGCTCTGCAAAGTCAAATTATGTCTCCAATGCTGGCTCCTAAGAAAAGGATTCTTTCATTTGCAGCCTTTTGTGTAAGAGGCTTCTTGACTCTAAACAGACTATTGAATTAAACATCCAGTGATAAATGTATTCTGCAAGAATTCATCTGATCTTTCTTTAAACTTACACACACTTCTGGCCCCACAACATTAATTCATGTATTTTATTCACACCGTTTATTCAGGTAATACATGAAAAATGTCTCAGCTTGCTTGTTCTAAACCCAGAGCCCACCAACTTCACAGCTGCTTTCCAATGCTCTGCAATCTGCTTTTTAAAGACCTCTAACCCCTGCCATCAGAGACTGAATAGAGAACCTTTGTCTGTTTGGTTTTTCCTACTATGGAAACTGTTCCACAGCCCTTAAAAAATTTGCTGTCATTCCTGACACCTCTTTGTTCTCCTGGATAGAGTTTGTAGGTCTAACTCCCTCATTTTAATTTTTGTAGTTCCATTCTCATCAACACCACCTTCCAGAGAGAAGTTCCAAGCAGGTGTCACTAACAGCTGAAAGGATGTTAAGAATTTTTCTGCTTTCCCAGGATTAGAAGAGCACAAATATGGCTAAAAATCTTTTCAGAACTTACAATCTTAATGAAATATGCTGCTGTTCACAGGTATAATCATAAGCAGGAAAAGTAATTCCAAAAAACCACATTTTTTTTCCAAGAAAAAAGAAAGTCTGTTGCATTCCCATCTTTTGAGACCTCCTAGCTCTCTTTAGAGATAGGATCTTTTTTGTTATACTAAGGACAAAGCCCATATTTGTTTTCTTACCAAACAGAGAACCTAAGCCCTGGATGGAAGGATATTGCCTAAAATGGTCTGCAAACACACAAGTGGTAAACAGGACTTAGAGCAAAGATAAGGCCAGACTCTTCCAAACACTGAATGACCTTAAACATGGGCACCATAACACAGTTTTCATCCAAATATCAGCCATGGCATGGGCCAGCCTAATTCAGATTTTACACAAGACTGTATTTAATACTTTGCTTCTGAGATATATGATGAGCTTGTCTTTAGGTGGAATCAGATCTCTCCTGTGCACAACAGCCCCCTTTTGTTTTCACTTTGTTTTTATTCACTCTCTGTTGATGCAAAGGGATTACAGCTGTCTTTAGCACTTCAGGGGAACATGTTTGTTTGGGCAGGGTTTTGAGTTTTTCTGTTATGGTTATTTTAGGGGGTGGAAGCAAGGATGTTTTTATTTTAAAACTAACCAATACTGATGGCATTACACAGCTGTATTAATCTTACCTTTGGGTGTGCTCTCAGAGTGATCTCTGTCCGGCCCATCTGGGAGGTTTAGCTGTGAGACTTCCTCTGCATTCAGTCTGACCCAGGCATTGTTGGGGGTTTCCTGATCTTTTGAGGTAAAGGAGTATTCTAGCTCACAAGGAGATTCAAAGTTGCAGTCAAATACTGGAAAAAGAAAATGGACACAAAACACGCCAGGTTAATTAAATCCGGTGTCTTCTGTGCTCAAAGGTAGCTATACATACACGTGCATGCACATTCATTTTGTACTTCAGTAAGTTAGGGCTTGATTTTTTCCCATAATGAGGTAAAAAGAAAGGAATTCTGTAAACAGGCAAAAATGGGCCTGAAATGGGCTGCACAGGGAGGTTCATTATGGAGGCAGCAGCAAATCAAAAGGAATGCCCAAGAGTCAGTAATTCCCCTTCAGGACAGGTCAAAGGGCAGCTCAGGCTAAAGTGGAGAAAGACATCATCTGGATTGAAAGGAAAATAGCTTAGTCGATGGATGAAATGGGACAGAAAGCCAATCTCTTCTGGGATCCTGCTTCAAATTCAACCAGTACCTAGAATGCAAAGACTCCTCACAGGAATCACACCCATGTTTCACCTGAGTGAGCCCAGGTCTGTACAAAGACAGTCATCTATCCTGGGCATTTGGAATGTGCTGGAAGCCATAGGGACTGTACTCCAGGAGGTGACATTCTGACCTCCAGGGTCTGAAACTCTTTCCTGAGACAACAGAAGTAGCAAAAACCTGACTGCTGCTGCAGAACTTCAGCCTCCAGGCAGCACAGCCAGCAACTGCCTCCAACAGAGATTTCTCTTTTTGAGATGTTTCTCTAGAGAAACCCATCACAACTATGATTCACTTCCCACTGTCCAGTTTACCATCACACCATAGTTCAAGTTGCTTTACACAACCTGCAAGGATTTTACTTTTAATTGTCAAGATCATTAAATTTTTCTGGAATGCCCAGTATATATTTGCTTTTGTCACCACAGCCAGCACTTAACACAATATTCAGTAAGAGAAAGAAATGGTTTTGGAACTAATTTAGTGTTTCTGAAAAGGCTAGATCCATTTGAAAAAGCTAAAGAAAAAAATTCAGCTGCTCCTTGGAGTATTCTGCACTGTCCTTCTGTTTTACTGTACTATGCAGGTGAAACAAATAATCTGAACCGACATTAGTGAAATTAACTGATTTTTTAAAACTTCAATTACATTCTCTGTTAAACATCTAATTTCTTCTTTGTGGGCACAGATTTATGTAGTTCGGCCTATTCTCCTGGTGATAAAATATTTTCTAATCTGAAGGTTAATACTGTTGCCCTCTTCCTATACTTTTCACAGCTAATTTCTCTTTTTAACAGCAAGCTGGAAGGAACAGAGTCTTTTTTCCATTTTATATTTGATTTTCTTAACCAAGTGCTGTATCATTCACTCAGCATTTTAAATACTTCACAACACCAGGGAAACCATATAACATAAGGAATCCATTTACAGCACAAGCAGCAGTAACAAGGATCACACACATTTCCTTGAATCTGAATGCACAAGCCCCTACTCTCCTCAGGCCCCTAAATTATCAATATAAATTTGATGATACATGAAGCACACTTGAATTTAGGCAGAGGGGAACTGTGGATATATTCATGCAGTTTACTACTGCAATATCATATCCAAACCTCAGACTGCTTATTTCTAGTCTCTTGGATGGTCTTAAAAACAAACAAACAAACCAAAAACAAACCCACAAAGCAAAAACCAAACCAAATATTTTTTTAACTGAAGTGTTAAGCACAAAAGTTTAACAATCTTTTGTACTTAATCCCAGATGGACAAAAGAGCAATCAAACACTGAACTATAGTTTACAGAAAATATATTTTCTTTACTTGTCACAAGGAACACCTTGAGCAGTGTATATTTTAAGGCACTGTCAAAAAAATATGGAGGGGAGAAACACAGCACATACAAGGATTTTTTTGATGGAACTCACTGAATGACAAATGAGAAAGCCCAGGCCAAGGACCACACACAGCAAAACCAATCATTTCAAATCAACTATTTCGTTCTTTGTGCACTTCTCGATCAATCTCGTATTTTCTTCAGCTTTCCAGCAGTTGCTGCTTCCTTCCCCTCCTCTCATGCCCAGCTGCTGGGAACAGAAGCCTTTGTGCTCTCTAACCCTCTTGACCCAAGCAGAGGGGCCCTTCATGGCTATCCAAAGGCTCTCTCATTCTCCTCTCCAGCCCCCCTGACTGTCCAATTGTGGTGCCACAAGCACTCAATGGCCAGCTCTGCTCCCCACTTTGCTCTCACTTGCCGGAATCCCCATCTCAAAAGAGAGCTATCAATCAGCTGTGGAGCCTTTAACACAGCAGGCCTCTGACCTACAACTGGTACAACTTAATTGGGGTAAGTGATTAAATACCAGGCACTGCTCATAGCCAGTGCAATGACCTCTGCAGACAGCTAAAGCCTCTGCCTGGAGCAGGGAAGGTAAAGGAAGAAAAGGCAAGCAGCACTGCCATTTCCTTCCCTTGCAATGAAAGGCCTGCAGAGAGTGGGCATGGTCTAACATGTCTGCTGTGCTCACACTGAATGTCCTTCACTACAGGTTATTTCTTGGAAAAGACAGAGACTCTTTGGCTCACACCTCCCACAGTGTCTGTGATTCAGTGGAAACACACCTGCAACTTTTACATGATTCAATAGCCCCCTCCCATCACCAGAATATCAGTACTTTTTACAATCTCTTATTTAAAATAGTCCTGTATCAGACACAAATTTCAGGGCTGTTATCCTATTCAGTACAAAGAAATGATGACAAAGAAATACTATCTGATGCAACACAGAAAAATCTATGCAAACAGCATTCAGTCTTCCAAGGCTAACATTAACTTCCTATCCTCAGGCTTTCCTTCTTCCACAATGTCCTTCACTATCGACAATGTAATATACCTCATAAAAAAAGAATTATATAATTTTTTTTTTCACTGAGAAGCTGGTCTTGGTGTGTTAGCTATTACAAGATCACATAAGCCATACTTGCAAATACAAAACCCGCATAATACTTGAATTGCTGCCACAAATCATCTGCCATTTTTTACACCTCTGCATAAAAAAATAGTGTTTCTCTTTCCTTTTTCATTTTTGTCTTAACATTTAAAGTCTACATGAGGTTTATTGTTTCCTTGCCCAGTTAAGCACAGAAAGCAGTAGCCATGTGCCTTTGGAAGCTGGATAAAGGCCATTCTGCCTCATTTTTAACTAAATAACTAAACACTGCAGGAAAGGCAATTAAAATTAACACAACCTCCACTGCTTATTTTTTTAAACCCACTATCAATACAAATTTACTAGGTACAGAGCTTTTGGACTTGAATACTGTGCCTAGTCAGTAAAGTGGGGGGATTTTTTGTGACTTCTGATGATTTTCTAAAAGAGATGTCACAGAGATTTAAGCCAAGTACAAGCATTTATGTCAGAGCTATATTGACACTACAGATCATAAACATTCTACAGGAATTTAAGATGCATACAGAAAAAAAAAGCAAAGTCTCTTCTTAAATAATGAATAAAAAAACCCCACAAAACAGAACAAACAACTCTTTGTCCAACAATCTCTTTTATCTGCAACTGCTGGGCATGAGCAAAGCAGAACAGATAATTCATTAGAAGTCTATTTCATCATCATCACACCTTTAAAGAAGAAACAAAAGTGATGCTTATAATCAAAATAAGATAAAAACCTTTTTAAGAAAGGCTGTAGATATAAATCAGTTCAGCTTTTGGTATGTAAAAAGATACAGAATATTAACCACAAACTGAAAAGCCAATTAAGCTACTATTCAATTAAAAAGACACTGGAATCTGTGTATATCTGATTATGTTAGTCTTGTGAGTGTTTCAATTTATTTATTTTTTATCAACATACCTACAACAATAATTCGTGCACAGATAACTAAAATATCTGGCAACCACAACTGTTTCAATTAAACTGATTAGAGTTTTCTAATAAACAAATGCCTTAAAATAGTACTACAAGTAATACACCAAAGCACAGTAATTAGTGGGAAGTATTCTTTTACATTGCAGCAGGTCAGATTATGGATCATTCACTTTTGGGCCATCTTGGATCATTTGTTTAACCACACACCACAGAAACATACCTTATTTAGAACAAAAATAACCTAATATTAAGAGATAGATTTTAAAAAGCCTGTTCTTGTTAAGAAACTACTCTGACTATTTTTTTCTTCAGCAACCCAACAAAAGATTAGGTTTATTTGGTCTAAACCATGTCTTCTTTCAAACACAAAAATCTTACCAGCAGGTAGCTTCCTCTTAGACTGCTCCTTCCTAGTTCTACAGGTGTCTGATTTTAAAAGGTCCTTTTCCCTCCTGGTTGGCTGACTCTTACAAATCTCTCCTCCCCAGTTACTCTCAGGTGGGCACACTTTTGAAAGGCTGTGGTTGCTTTCTCACCGCTCTAGCACAGCCAGGGGAGCAGGGAGAGGTTCTCTGTTCTCAGCAGGACCAGCTCAGTGAGGGACATTCTCCCTGGCACCTCATCAGCTTGCACATGACTAATTCCTACTCCATCTACAGCCAAATGCACAATGTAAAGGTCACTCACACCGATCAAGTCAGGACCACAATCTCCCTCAAGAACTCCTTCAGCAGCAGCAATCGCAGCGGCAGTGTAGAAACAGATAAAATATTCTTGCACAGGATGTGTTTTTTCAATACAAATATTGACAGATACTCCTTGTGGAGGAGACATAATTTAAGTTGTGTAGTAGAGATCTGCTCTGCTGAGTGAGCTTTGAGACCTCCATCAATACCCACTAACCTCTATTTTACTCATGTTATAAGGCCTATAAGCTTTTAATTTATGACAGGGAAATGACAAATTGATTTTCCAGTTATTAATCCTAGTGACAGAGCCAGTTCCTAAAGCCTTCCCATTCCCTCTGAGTACAAAAGGGCACAGGGCATTCAATCTAAGGGTTTCAATTGCCTCATCAGGCCTTTCTGAATTTCTATTCACCAAACCAAGGTGCACATGTGGGGTGCCACAAAGAAGCCTGCAGTGATAAGTATTTCTCCCTCAAAATAGAACATAAATAGGAGACACTGTGCTCTCTGGCTGTCAGCT